TACCTTTTGTTTAATTATCTCAAAACCTATAAGGGTCACAGAACAAGTGTACTGAGCATAAAATGTGTTTCATTTTTTCTACAACTTTTGTTTAAAATATTTTTCACTCAGTGAATTACGCTCAAGATGGACACAAAAATGCATGTACATTCTCAGGTAAAGTGCCTGTTATTGCTGTCCAAATTCAACAAAAATATAATATGACAACAAAATTTAGTAAAACTTCCCAATTTGAAAGTTAACACAAACACTTCACCATTTTAAAGAAATGTACTTGATAAATGAAAGGTTTACTTCAGTGTGTGTTTGATGAACATTATCTGAAGCAGTTCTCAATTAGTAAATATTAAATACAGTATTCTGTAGAGTTAATTCTAGTCTTCAAGTAACTGATTAATATGATTCAACAGTATCTTTCTGCATTTAGATTTTATAATACTGTAACTTCTACATAAATACATACATCTTTATTACATTCCATGGATCCATAAGTTAGTCAGATGACGATAGGATGTAGAATAAGTCATAATAATACAATACATCATGATGTTGAACATGATTTAGCTTTTATTCTTGTAGTTTGTATCTTGGTTAGTACATGGCTCTCAGAATTCAGTATCAATAAAGAACTGTACAGGCCAAGTACAAGAAGAAAATAATCGCTGAAATACTGATATTTTAAGGTTATAAGAACCTAGCTCTTACATAAAATGGTCAGACTACAGGGGTAATATTGGGAATTTCTATTTGGACATACAACACTAAAAATTCCAAATGCTATATTTCTTTAGAACATCAAATAATTTGAAAATGAAAGAGTTCCAATTCTGAGATAAGTTATACTTCAAAAATATTAATCAAAAGTATCATTTTATGTTTCAGTTACAGCAGATGAAACTTAGTTCCAGGAGGTCTGTGCTAAAAGTTGTGTGTCAAATATAAACCATTTTCTACAAGAATCTCAAATGAAACCTTACTGATGTGAGATCTGAGGTTCACACAGCAGTGAAGATTTTGATGGTGGTCTTCTAAATCATGTCATCATGTAGTCTTGTAAGTGTTTACCTCTGTTTCTCAGGACTGTATCTCCTCCATCTACAAGACCACACAGCATCGCAACCCAGTCGGCCACTATCCATAATCTTTACTGGCTTTCTCAATAATGGCAAACATAATTTCTGCCTACAGACTGTGAACAGCTTTGCAACAAAACATCTGTATCTACAATATAAAAGAATGACTGACACTCATCTGTTTTCCTTTCTATAAAATAAAGCAAGGTAAAGCTGTCCTACTACACACCATTTAGGCATTTGGGAGCAGAGGTAGAAAAGCTCCTACTCATTCTTAACCTCAGCACTAGACAGTGGTTTTTTTTCTAGTTCTTGTTGCACTTCCACTTTCACTGAAGAACTAGATGGCTTAGGGAACCTGAATGTTCATCACCGAATTAAGAAAAGCCCTCGACCAGTCCCTATCCTGGGCCAGCAAAATCCAATCACCTTCAACTCCTATCTCCCGCTTGATATTATCCTCCCATCTACATCTAAGTCTTCCCAGTGGTCTCCTCTCTTCAGGATTCCTGACCAATACCCAGTGCACACCTCTTGTCCCATCCATGCATGCCGCATGCCACATGCCCTGCCCATCTCATTCTTCTTGTTCATTGAATTATCAGACACTGAAAATGATTTTCAGACCCTGACTATGCATTAGTTTCCAGCCACCTAATTTCAAGCCACTAGGGTCAGTTTTTCCATCATTATTAAGTATACCTACCTGAAATTTTCATAGTGGCACTGTATCGACATAACACACAATAAAACCATCTGTGTGGATGAGCTCCATGATTTTGATACTATACAACCAATGCCAGTATCATGTCAAACCTCACCAACTGTACAGGCTACTATGAGTAACCTAGTTTGTATACTGATTATCAAACAACAGTATATGAAGTTAATTATTAAATTACACAAAATACTTCCTATGTTTTAATATGAAATCTTTTTTTGTTTGCAGGCATTTTGCCAAGTTTTCAATTACAGTTATGGGCAAGGCAGAGCAGTGTGTGCTTCTTTTGTTGGTGTGTTACATCAAAACAAAACAGAGTATACAAACCTTTAGTACTGTAACACAAGATTGCAAGTCCTTTCTGCCAGACAAATGGTGGACCACGCACTACTTTAAAATACTGAAACAATCGTATCACCTATTTGTTCTTAGTGAGACAATTCCGCATAATGAACCAATGTCTCAGTACATTACTATGTTATTGCATCAAATTCACATGCAAGAGATAACTCCTATCACCAAGTTTATAATCCTGCCAGACACATGCAACCAAAGTTTTCCTATTTCAAAGCAAAAATTTGTTTTGTTGTTGGCTGTAAATGAAAAAGAGTTGTTCCGTTTATTTCAGAATGCTAAAATTTGTATTCACCAATGGGATAACAATGCCCATTTCACCATCATAATACTACATAACTTCTTTCACAAAAATGAAATTACAATAAAATCTACAGCTCTGTCTATCTTTAATAATCTCTGGTCAAAGGAAAGAGTACTAAATGTTTTGATTGTGACAAGACATTCACACTTCAACTGTGAACTAAATGTATATACTAATAATTCCATAAAAGTATAGATGTACAATCCGTTTGAGATGAATGCAAACAATTCAAGAGGAAATATTTATAAGTTTGAATATGGCCATGACCTTTCTACTGCATACACACATAAAAGGTTAAGAAATGTCCATGGGTACCCACTGCAAGTTTCTATATTCGAGCAATACCCAACAGCAATTCCTATGAATAATGTTAACAATTCCACCACATATGAAGGAATGGATGGACATATCCTTTATAACGTGGCTCAGTATTTCAACTTCATGTTCAAGATTCATAATAATTACGGTAACAAACCATATGGGTCAGTGCTGCAAAATGGCTCAGTTGTGGGATCTCTTGCAGACGTAGTGTATGGGAAAACTGAAATATCATTTAATTCACGCTTCATTATGTGGTATGGCGTAGACGATATTGACTTTTCAATTCCTGTTGCCAGTGATAAATTGTGTATCATAGCACCGAAAGCTAAACGGATACCAAAATGGAAGAACATGTTTGTGTCTTACAAGACAGAAGTATGGTTGTCATTTTTAATGGTCTATGTTGTGTGTGCAATGTGCTTTTACTTCCTTCACAAATACAAATTACAGAAACATTCTACTGGATGTTTGCCTACACTTAACATGTTTCAAATTTTTGTGCTGTCACCAGTACATCGTCCTCCCCAGATCCTAGTGCAACGGTTGCTGTTTGCGTCATGCCTACTTTTCAATTTAGTACTCATGAACACATTCCAAGGACTTTTGGTTACCAACATAACAACTCCAAACTATGGGACTGATATCCACACAATGGACCAACTTCATGAGTCAAATCTCCAGATTCTCACAGGATCATTTTCAATAATGGATATGCTCAAGAATGGAGATGTTATTAGTAGAAAATTTAAAGTGTTTGAGGGAACACGACACGAAATGATCCAACAAGTACTGAAATCTGTTGCAGCTATTACTGAACGGGAGAGCAGTATAAGGTTTCTAGTCGCAAAATATCTCTCACCAGATGGCACATTACTGATGCACATGGTTGAAGAATGTCCAGCCTATTATTACTTAGCTTACATACTCCCAAAAGGTAATCCATATCTACAAGAGTTCAACTCATTTCTCCAAAAAGTTATGGAATCTGGGCTGACACAGAAGTGGTACTGGGATTCAACTGACATCAAGACAAGATTAAGTTACAGAAAATCTCATCCCAAACCAAAAACTCTGAAATTATTCTCAGTCTCTGATCTTCAGCTGGCATTCTACATTCTTATTACTGGACTGTTGCTTAGTTCATTTATATTTGTGGTGGAAGTTGCACTAGTAACAAGGAAAGTGCAGAAAATTACAAACTGAAAGAGTTATAAAGAACTTTCAATAAAAAGATGAATACCAAATTCCAGTTACAGACATACAGTGATAATTCAATGTTGAAATCACCACGTCTTAAATGAAATTCAAATCAGTATCATCAGATCCAACTTACAAACAGATAGTAACCAATTCACTTAACTACTAGTGAGTGCTGTAAGCAATGTATATTCTTAATTTCTTAAAAGTAAAGGTGTACAAACAGCTTGCTGAGCAAGATGGCATACATTTTTAGTGAAAAGACATAACAAAATGCTAGTATTATTAAAGTTCAGCATGAATTGTAAGTAAAATCATAATGCAGAAAAGGTTCAAGCACAAAATCATAATGCAGGAAAGGTCAAAGCATGTCTGCAATAGAGAGATTACTTAAGAAATTTTAAAATAAATGGTTTTACCTTGTAAACAGAACCAAACTGTATATTTTAAATCACATATTCTATAATTTAAAATTTATTAATTGGGGAATTTATTTTAAGTTGAAGATATCCGTCTTCTGGGTTATTGCGCTGTGTAGTCTGGTCGATATTGTAGTTTTTCTGTCATACTATAGTATAAGAAACTTTAAAATATTAACTATATCAAATCACTGTTAAGTTCAAGAAAAACAGTATGTAGTATATGTACACACATCATCAGTTACATTTATATCGAATGTCCTGACTGTTGCCTACATGGTAAAGTGAAGGTGCCCCTTCTGATGGAGCAGCAACAGGGGGTCCAGCACTCCCAATGGCAAGATGTTGACAAGAATAAAAGATGGCAGAAGGGATGCAGAGCTTAAATCTAGATCCTGGACCATCACATAAGCACAATACTCTTACCAATCCCAATAAACTCCAGCTAGTATAAAGATTCTGATAAGTCTGTATCAACAGCCATTTGAGGACTGAAGCAAGGACTCTTTAAACAAGAATGTGGTGTTTGTGTTCTACTCCAAGGTCACCAGGTCTCCTAATTGCACAAACAACTGTAATGCCAATTAGGTCTACAATTAAACATAACTTACCTATATTTCTTTGTGAATCTGTAGTATCACCCCAACTCAGAATTCCAGTGTTGATTTGTGAGTCCTCAATTCTCACCTTACTAGGACTATTCAGCAAACCTGCACCCATAAACACATTACATCAGTTCCTGGTTCCCAATTTCTAAGGTTGTTTTCTATGCATAAAACTGATACTGAAACTACCACATAATAAATTTAATAAAACATGTAGAATTTGAGGTTTTCACTGCAGTGAGTCTGAAGATTGCAGTCTTCTGGGTTGTTATGTGTAGTCTGGTAGATTTCCACCATTTCAGGGGTCATACTTACTCTGTCATCAGTTTTCTAAAAGGTTTTCCACCAAAATTCTGCATGTATTCCTTGCCACTATCATCACAGTTAGCCACATTCTAAGACCACTCCATCCTCCTACATATTATGGGATAATATCTAATCTGTAGTATGAAAGATTCCTAAACATCAAATTAAAACTGAACTTAAAAGAGTTTGTAAAATGGAGAAACAATACTACATATCAAACTACACATTAGCATTCTTGGTCTCTCTTCCCAACAGTTTAGTAGCCAGTATAATAAATGAACAAGAGTTTTTCATTTTCCACTCCATGATTAACAGTCTAGCAGTATGCAAGTGAGATGCAACTTAAGCTAGACATCACATAAAACACAAATAGAGCATGATATCAATTTGAAAAAGTCATTATCTTCCCTAGATTTCACTCAATGAAAGAAGAATTGTTGCTCTTTTATATATTTTTGTCAAATAATATATTCAAAAATGAGTAAAAAGGACTCTGTTGTATGTGCCCTTGCTCTGACAGTTCAAATTCTTTCAGTCAAATCAACATACTTGGTGAGTCATTCCCATTCGCATCAATCACTTTGCTGGGCAGCTTTGACAGTACTTCCAATGCAAGTGCAGGACATCCAGCTTTGAAGTGGGCATGAGCTGTTGTGAAGTACAACTGGCGCTCAAGAGGTGTGATGGAGTCCTCCAATAGTAACTGCAACCAACATCTTCAGTTAGTGCTCAGCAGCCACAAAAATCTGTCACTAATTCCCAGACCTGTTTCTATTCTATCCCTACACAGTTCTACCAGATAGTCTTTCATAAATTCTGGTCTGAATGTATGTGAACATTTCTAAAGCTAAATGTCAAAATTGGGAATTTTCCTTATAAACTTGTACTCAGGGTTCCAGAAATACATTCACTAGGAGAAAGATACAGAAAACTTGTGGCAAGTGTACGTTTAACCTCTATGTAAATGCATTAGCAATTTAAGACATGATAATGAAATATTCTCCAATCTGAAGTTTGAAGTTATGAGGTACTCTTATTGCCAAGTAATTTCACCATCCTTTGTGTGAGTGACTGTCAAGTTTTTGTGAGTTCAAGTCATGCCAATTGCATGCTGCAAGAACATACTACGTGATTTGCATATTTAAGTTATATTTCTGCAATCATGCATGCATTCTTATATTCTTTTCCTTAAACCAAACCCTCTCTACATAGAACTCACTACAAGCTTCTAAAAAAACAAAGACACCAATTACAACTTTTTAAAATTTTCTTTCAGTTTTAAAAACAACACTGATCAATTGTTATAATCAATTTCTATGGTTTTGCCAGTCTTTCTTATATTTACATAAATTCAACACCGAGACAATTATTTGGTCAATGAAGTTCTTAATATTACATCTTCCTTCTCTGTTGTCTAAATACAGTATATATTCATCAATAATTATTACCCTTCACATCCAAAAGTCACATACTCCCTTGGCATAATCCTCTTGTACTTACTAATAAATTTTTACTCTCCTATCCCTGAACTGAGATGTCCCACTCTCTGTACCACTCTATAATATTCACATGACTTCTCTGAGCACAGACTATTATTTTCAATTAGCATAAAAACAAAGAGAATTTAATCAAAACCTCTATGTGAAATCCAGTATGATAAAACTATTAACAGAGTTAACCTCAAGCAAGACAAAAATACTAGCTTCTACAGGAAAGCACTGCAACTCCCTAATATTATAATTAATTAGCTATTTAAACTCATAAATATCATGTGTGGACTCTTACTTGTTTGTCTGGATTGCTTGGTTTGGCATCAGAACCATAACTGAAGCCAGACAGAACAACAGCATGAGCAGTCTTCTTATCCTGAGCAGTAGAAGCAATATACTGACGAATCAGCAGTGGGTGTGTGCGCAGGTATACATAGAAGTTGAACACATTTGGGTTAGCTATCAACATAAAGATACACAGGATATCTAAGTATATTTTCCAGGAACATTAAACATTACATGAATATTTTTAAATTTAGTCTGAATAAAGAATAGATGCCAATACAAAGAAATTCTACACTTACACGAGTATTTTCAAAGGATTTTTGGAAAGTATTAATAACTAAATATTTTTAAAGTCTGTCTGAATAAGGCTAGCTGCAACACAAAGAAATTCACAATTTCTTAGAGTATTTTGCAGGAACTCTTTTAAAAGTCTTAATAATTAAACATTATTTTAAATGTAATCTGAACATGAAGAGATATGTGAAGTAACAAAATGTTACATTTAATTTCACTAGCAATAAATAACGATTAAGCATGGACAATTAATATCTTAAATGTTATTTACAGAAGTTCACTATTGAGTCAACACATTACAGAGTGAGAATATAATCCCTTACTGCTGAAATGTGTTGTAACCCAAACAATATCTCCTGATAAAGGAATTAGATGAAATGGAAATAGATTTAGAATTCAGAATTCCAATTTTTTGTTTTATCCACAGAAATTTAAGGGTTTTAAAATATGTACAAAACTCCAGTTCAATATTATTCAGTAATGATACTGATTTCTAAGAGAAGTCATTAAAAACAGATTACATTACCAAATTAGAAGGAAAGATATTTGTTTTAAATTATTTACTGATTTCAATTCACAGACAGGATGACATAAACTTATTTCTGTGGCTGTTTTAAAGTGACAGGTACATTTACATTTGAATTAGCTTCAGCATCATCAATGATATGGCACAACTTTCACAAGAGAACTGTTGTGAGAAAGTGCAAATTCTATAGTTTTTCTGATGAACAATGGCCAAATATGAAATGCATGAAAACACCAAACGGAGGAAATTTAAAAGGTAAGTACTGAAGTTAAACACAACTGGACAACTCAAATCAATAAACAGTTAATGGAAATTTCCAGTGTACATTATCTGCAATCACTCCACTCATGATCTTCATACCTTTAGAAACCGGTCATTCCTCAGCAAGAATAATTACAGCAAAATCATGTCTCACCTGATGAACCCTCAAACTTATCATCACTGTCAGAGTACTGTGGATGCATGGAGCCAGTGTTGGTTTGCAACAAGGTATTGAGGCTTCCTGTGTAATCTTTCAGAATCCAGAGAGCCATGGATCGCAAGAAAGGATCAGGGTGGGCCTCGGCCAAAGACTGATTCCCACCTTCACTATCACAGCCCAAGATTTCCTGAACAGAACAATTGATATAACTTTGTTTACTCATTATAAACTACATAATTTTTTTTATGACTGTCTTTTTACTGCAAATGTTACATAGACTTAAACAAGATAAAAGAATGATTTACGTATTGTAAACTAGAAAGGATAGGGAACGAAGTGTTGACTCACTGGTAGACAGAAGGCCAATCAATTACCAAGCAACTGTGATGTAACTGTTTTCCAGTAGCTTTAACTCAGCAGATATTTTAATATGATCTCTAGACCATAAAGCATACTATTTAAGGTATGACACAAAATTCTGAACAAAATAAAGATATAACATTCAGCTTCTATTCTGCACAGTTCTTTATAACTCCCTTAATAATGCAATAACATGGAATGATGCACATCACGTATAAACATAATGTAGAGACTTATTAAACTTATTACAACTGCACTTTCAAACAGTTTCTATTAACTCAACCATGGTGACTGGGCAAGTACATTTCTGAAGCCCTGCTTGAATGAAAAACAGAAATTGAAATGTTATTTTTTGGTAAAAAATTATTTCAAGGACTAATAAGAAATGTTATAATCTCTAATTACTAACATTCTATGAAACCACTCACTTCATATAAAAGTCGTCGTAGATTTGGAGGAGTTGAGTCAAGCTCTCCTTCATAAAGGCGTGCAATCACCATTGCTAGCTGGAAGTCTTCAAGCTTGTTCAGGCACACCTAACAAATATAAATGTACATTTATATCTGAAGTTAATGACTTTCAGTGCTTCAGCATATGTTATTTAAAGCACAAACATAAAACAGAAGTAACTTTGCAGTATGGGTTATACTGAATTAACACAATGCATCAGTATACCAGCACAGGAATGGGACATCTGAAAACTAACCAGATATTGTGCATGATCACTCTGCTATGCCAGAGTTCCTCAACGAGTGTGCTGTGGCACACCGGTATGCTTCAGGCAGGCCACGAATTTTTAAATGACATCATATGTTAGCAGGTTATAAAGAGGCAATATCTTAGAAGGATTTGAGGTTTCCACAGTGATGAGTCTGAAGATGGCTGTCCTTGCAAGGACCTCTGAAACATCGGTAAACTTCTACCAGACTACAAGGTGCAACAACCCAGAAGACAACCTTCTTCAGGCAATATCTTATATTTTGTACTTTCATAATTAGAATTCATTTTACATATATATGTATGTTACAAACACATGTGATATGTATTGTATTCATATGCCTGCATTCTTACAGTGCAATAACATTTTGTAGATACATACTTACAGCCATGTACAGTGAAACCTCAATCCATCATTCCCTGAACTATCGTTTTCCCGTTCATCGTTTTGTTCGGTCCCTGATATATCCCATATAAAATAATGTTACATTTTCCCGCTTCTATCGTTCCTCGAACTATCGTTTTATCGCATCAATCGTTCAAAAATCTTAGTCCTGGCCCACAATTTTCCCACAATGATCGTTTCTGAGAAATTATAACGAAATTTACACGATGTTTTTAGAATTTAAAATGCTGGGTTTTGAGATAAATTAATACCGAAAGACGCACAATGGTTTTGGAATACACAGTAGCGGTAACCTGTTATGTCGCCCAACCAGCACAGATTCTTTTGGAATGAGGGGTCAGCGGTGCAGGGGTGATAGTTGGAATGAATGGCGGTGCTCATTGTCAGAAATTTTATGAGTTTTATTAGGGTGCACACTTTTCATTCTTCTGGTTCATCCCGTTTCCAGTGGTTCAGTGTCTTCTACAGCTACGTTTCGTCGAGTTCGGCAGTAATAGTATTTCCATTCTTCCTGTTATTGTTCCAGTCTATATTTTTGTTGTTGTTCCTGTAAATATTTTGTTATTCCTGTTATTCCTGTTACTCCTGTTAATTATTTTGTTATTATTCCTGTACCATGTCTCGCCCAGTAAAGCAAGTCAGAACTCTTCAAGAAAGATTAAAAATTATAGAAGAAGTGGAGAAGAATCCATTTGAAAAAAGAATCGACATTGCTAAACGCCTTGGATTGGCACCATGTACTTTAAATTCAATAGTTGCAAAGAAGAAGAAAATCCAAAAACAAACTGACAAGTGTGGTAATTCATGCAAAAAAAGAAAGAAAGGAAAACCCCCGCCAAAAACGATGCATCACTATATAGTTCATGCCCCCTTTAGCTGAGGAAAAATGTTGTGGTATCTGACAAATTAGGGTATCAAGGGAGAAGAAAATTTGCAGAACACTGCGCCAGGCAATTCAACGAAACAATAAATACTGGCAAAAACTTCATCATTTATCTATCTATGATTATGTAAATTATCCTACATCAGACATGCATCATGGCTAATATGTAGTCCAACTGGCCACACATTATAGTAGCATACTGGTTAACCATTTAATCCCAAAGTCAAAATCTAGCTCATAGCCACTTTTTGATCAGATTCTTGATTATCACCAATTTAATTACAACTGTTACTAGATTCTACTTCTGGAAGATTTTTATCCACACAATCTAAAATAGGAACCTATCATCACTAGACACTTTATTCCATACCACATTATGTTACTTGTTTCCAGCAAAGACTGTAGTCAGAACAATTTCATCTCACAGTTCATGAAACTTAAATCAAGATTACAGTACATGTAAGGATTTGTATGCTTGTGACATCTAGCGCACATTTATCAAACTACCTAAAGCAAACATACTTTTTAATTCTCAAACACTGCCAGTGCAAGATTTGCTTGGGAATGGTTAAATAACACTTTAAATTTGTTATACTGAAATTTGGTTACACAGAGACTTTACTGAATAAAATGAAGTAAACACAATATATTCATTTAAAACAATATTACCTCAATTGCATCTCGCAAAGCTCCAGCCAGAAGGAAAAATGCAGCAGCATGTTCAAATCGCTGTTTCCCAAGCAGTGCAAATGCATTTTTAAGAGCTGCCTTTCGCCACCGATTATCTGAGAAGTTATTAGAGAAGAAGTGAGTCATGCGGTCATCTCTCTTTGAACGGAACAGTCCCCAAACAAGACTCTTCTTCTTCATGGCAAGATAGAAAATAGCAGCATCCAAAGGATCCTGTTTCACCATGTATGAAGCTTTTGCGACCTAGACAGAATTAATTTTATTTGTGAACAGAAACCTGAGAAATGCATTAATGCTGGATTTCTACTGAATCAAACTTGTATGAGACATTAACTGCAAACCATACCTTTTCTATGCACGTTTTGAGCAGTGTGTGGTTTCGGAGCCACCATCCAACACCCAGTTCCTTCAAAATGGACCACTTAGGACTGCCTTTAGCATATGATGGAATGAGAGCAAGCAATTCCTCCTCACTCTCAGAATGGAAAGCCCATACCAGGTTATTGGTGGCAACACCCTGGCGCTGGAACTGAGCTCGCTGAGCAATTGGCAAGCATCGTAATAAATAGTTATAATGCTTCATTGCCAACAAAAATCTCAATCCACAGTCATCCAAAGAATCTGAAACATAAAACCATAAACTCAATACATTAATATGGTACATGTCACTATGAAACAATGAGCATATGGTTCTGAAGAGGAGAAAAAAGTCTGTCTCCTTATAGAGGATATAATCAAATTTCTCAAGAGGCAATTTTTCATTTGACCATTTTCAAAGACATTATCTTCAAATTTTAAAAGCATGATCTATAATACCCCAAAACCATTATAATTTCTCAAAGCAACTCTTCAGCATTTAAAGATTAGGCCATATACATATGCTACCCTTTGAGCATAAATCTTACACTGAGGTAATTTACATCTACAGATCATTAAACAATAATCTTTCTGTCAGCTATACTTCCATATCCTTACAATTGGTTGCTACAAAAACAATGTAAATGTTTGATTTCAGTAACTACACTCTCAACCACAATATAGATCAAACTAAAGTAAATTATTTGTCAAGAAATATCAACAAGAAAGCAAGTTGTACGTAAACAATAAAGCTTCCAATTTAGTTACATACTTGTATTTACATGATATGAACTGACTATGTTAATCATGAAAACAGTTACGACTACGAACCTGAAGAAATGTCTTCCCCTTCTGGCATCCCTGACAAATTTTCTTTAGCAATAGCAGTTTTTGCAGCATCAATAGCAAACCGTTCAGCAAAGTCAGTGTTGCAAGTTGACACTGTGTCTGCCAAAGCAAGAAGATGCATCTGGTCCAGACTTGACAAACCAGGGAGATGTGTGTGAGTAAGTAAGCGTGACAGTAGCCGTCCCTGGTAACCAACATTTGACAGTGTATTAATCAGAGAATATCCTTTATTTCCTTCATTGGAAAAACATGTTTACACTGGAACATTTTAAGGTAATTTAATTTGCCAAGTCCCCACTTAATGGTACCTGCACCTTGTCGTGGTGGTGGGGCTTGAGTACCTCAGTGACCCCAAGAGCTATGCTGGCGGTAGCATTGCTACTGGTAGGGCCTCCCTAGCCAGATTGGTCGAAGGGGAGAGGTCAGACTAAGACAGGTATCCTGGTCCTCCAGGTTGGGGGTTGGTCGCAAGGCTAACAACCTTGCATCGTAAAAAAGAATAAAGTTGAGAATAATTTGATGAATGAAGCCGGACTGTCCTCACGAAGACGAACATTAGCTAGGAACAAGGATAAAAATTTGGTACTACATATTGGAACATGGAATGTGCGCACTCTGCTACAAGTAGGAGCGATGAATGGTATAGCTGATGAAATTATAAAATATAGAATGGAAATTGTCGCTATACAAGAAATTAGATGGAAAAATAAGGGAGTAATAAATAAGGCAAACTTCTCCATATATTATTCTGGGAAAGACGATAGGCAAGGAGAATGTGGAGTAGGATTTATTGTTACCAGGCAAATGCGTAAGGCTGTGCTGGCCTTTACGCCAGTAAGTGAAAGAATATGTACACTTAGAGTAAAAGGGAAACTCCATAATATAACACTTGTTAATGTCTATGCACCAACCGAGGGGACAGAAGAGGTGGCAGTAGATGGTTTCTATGATGAATTGCAGTCTGTATGTGATAACATTTCGAAACATGACATGATAATAGTACTTGGTGATTATAATGCAAAGCTGTGGAAAGAAGAAGTCTATGTCAAACTATTTGGAAGGAATAGTCTACATGAAGAAACCAATAATAATGGCCTAAGGGTAGCACAATTTGCAGCTGCAAATAATTTAAGGGTCATGAGCACATACTTCCCAAGGAAAGATATTCATAAGGGTACTTGGAAAATTCCTGGAACAAATAATTTTAATCAAATAGATCATATATTGGTATCTAGGAGATGGGCGACAGATGTAGAAAATGTGCGCACATTCCGAGGGGCAAATTCTGACTCGGACCATTATTTAGTTGGGTTTAGAATGAAGCAAAAAATATGTATGGTTATGAAAGGGAAAATGGAAAGAATTAAAAGGTGGAATGTAGACAAATTAGAAGATAGGGGTACAGTACAGGAGTATCAATGTAATTTAAACTTAGAATTACAAAAGATAGAAAAAGGGCCTGATATTGAAGATGAATGGAACTGCATAAAAAATGCCATTTTAAATACAGCACATATAACTGTTGGAGAGACAAGAAGATCAAGAAATGAAGATTGGTATGATGATGAATGTAGATCGGTCGTGGAACAGAAGAAGCAAGCTAGAATGAAATGTTTACAGCGAAATACGAGAGCTAATAGAAATCTTTATAATGAAAAACGGATATTGGCCACCAGAATATGTAGAAAGAAGAAAAGAGAAATGTTAGGAAGAAAGATCGACAGTATGATAGAACACCATCGTAGAAATGAAAGTAGAAAATTTCACAAGGAGCTTAAAGAAGTAACACAAGAATACAGACCGAAAGCTGTAGCATGTAAAGATAGTCAAGGAAATCTATTGACAGAGAACCGTGATATTGTTAATAGATGGAAAGAGTATTTTAGTGGTATCCTGAACGGAAATATAATTGAGACAGGGCAGCCAACATATTATACTGTGGATAATTACATTGAAGATCCTACGTTTGAAGAAGTGCAAAAAGTAATCAAATGTCTGAAAAATGGTAAAGCACCCGGAAGTGATGGGATTACTGCTGAACTACTAAAAAAAGGGGGAGTCAAGTTATGGGAGAGAATACATTATCTGATATTGTTGATCTGGAAAGAAGAAAAGATTCCAGAGGAATGGACCCTAGGAGTAATACAACCTATACATAAAAAAGGAGATAAAATGGAGTGTACCAATTATAGAGGAATTACACTTCTGAATGTAATATATAAAATCTTGTCAAGTATTCTATATAATAGATTGGTTGTATATGTAGAAGAGATGTTAGGAGAGTATCAGTGTGGCTTTAGAGCAGATAGATCAACGATAGACCAGATATTTGTATTGAGACAGATTCAAGAGAAAGCCTATGAATATAACATTGACTTAAATCATTTATATGTGGACTTCAGACAAGCATTTGATAGTCTCAATAGGGACCAAATGTTAAATGATATTCTCCTATTAGGGATACCATCTAAATACGTCAGGCTCATCAGAGTGACGTTGAAATACTCCAAGGCTGTAGTAAGAGTAGACGGTAAGCTAACTAAACCATTTAATGTCAATATGGGAGTTAGACAAGGAGATGCTCTCTCAACAATGCTCTTTAACCTGACGCTGGAAGCATCTATTCGGAAACTTGAGATCTCAGGACATATAGGCATAAAATCAACACACGTGAGTGCATATGCAGATGATATAGCTATTATTAGCAGGAATAAAGCTGCACTGGAAGAAACAGTATTAAAATTGATAGAAGAAACAGAATTAAGGGGGCTAAAAATAAATGAATCGAAAACAAAATATATGAAAGTTACAAGAGCAGCAAGAAATGTCACAAATAAATTGAGAATAGGTATGGATGTGAAGCCTGGACATTAACTAGCTTTGATGAGCAACAACTTAGAATATTTGAACGCAAAATATTGCGGAAAATCTATGGTCCAATACGGAATAGTGATGGCTCCTGGAGAATTAGGATGAATCATGAACTAGATTGTATCATACAGGGAGCAGATATCGTGAGGCTAATCAAAAGCAAAAGGTTAGCCTGGCTTGGCCATGTTGCAAGAATGGAAGGAAACAGGGTAACTAGAAGAGTGATGGAATGGAGACCGATGGGAAGAAGGATGAGAGGGAGACTGCGGAAACGATGGATAGACGACGTGGAGGAGGATGTGCGGACGATGGGAGTAAGGGGATGGAGAAGAATTGTGAATGATAGGACAGAATGGAAAAAATTCATCGAACAAGCTAAGAGCCACACAGGGTTATAACGCTATAAGAAGAATTTGCCAAGTAAAAGTTATTATCATGTTAATACTTCAAATTGAAGACTTACCACAGTTAACGAGAATATAGTAAGCTATTCATTCACCATGAAAAATAATCACTCTGTAGGATTTGAGGTTATTACAGCAGTGAGTTGTAGCACCATGTTTGATTATCATTCATTTCCATGTGGGATAATGTTTTCCCATATGCAAAATATATATGACACATATTAAGACTAATCTCTCAGCAATGGCCAACATGCTTAGCATGGCTGGCCAATGAAACTCACATTTAGCACACTGCTTACACTATTATCTTTGGGTCTTCTTTGCATCACTAATATTTAAGTTATTCCATGTTTACTAAGCAATGAAAAACAAAAATCTAACATGTTTGTTCCATTCTTCATAACTACTTATCACTGACATAGTTAATTTCTACACTGGTGATAAAGTCAGGATTCAACATGTATTCAGTGAAAAATCGGGTGCCAACTAAGCAGTATAAATTGAAATGCACAGTAAAGTAAGCATCCTGTAGGCCTATGGCCATCTGTTTGAATTGCTTTTACTGATAAAGTTGTTCATTTTGGTAATGTTACAGTGAGCTCATAATGAATGTAATGGAATAACAGAATATAGGAGTGACAAATCTGCAGGTTTCTCAGTACCAAAGAATTAATTAATCTCCTTACTTGTCTAGGTCCAAAATGAGAAAGCCCTTGTCGCTCCTGATTGACAGACGGGCGACGATCATGCCTCCTTGGTGAATCAGGATCATCTTCTAGTAACTCATCAAGGGATTCATCTGCCATTGCCAAGTTTCCATCAAACAAGTCACTGTAATCCTGCTGATTTTCACTCATCTGAGAACTCATGGTTGGTGTTTCCTTGTCTGCTGCCAGCAAAGTCCACAGAGGTAGTGGAGGAATAGATGTGATTTCTGCGTAGTCAAGTGTCAATTCCTCTGGTATTGCAGTAGTAGAGCCTCGCTGTTCCAATGGACTTGTCGTACCTGAATCAAGAACAAACATCACAAAATATCAAATTAAAAGTAATTCCAGATTTTTAATACAATGCTGTAAGTAACTTTATGTGAATTTAAAACTGTTGCATGTAAATAATGTAATCTTGAATTTGCAGGTACAGGTAAAACTGACAAAAGACAAACAAATTTTACTTAAATTCTACATCAAACTGACACCAAAGTTGGTGTGCATATCAAAGTCTGAATGTTTCTTATGATGGTTCATTACAATATTTAAAAATGTTCTTTTGCACTTTGTCCATCATATAAATTATAAAACAATTAAACTACATTATTTCAGAAACTGGATTCTGCCTTAATCTTCAACCATAAAAGAGAGAAAGAGGACAGAAAGCCGACTTATTTGGAACCCTGGTTGAGCTAGCATCAGACCTGGACACAGTAGAGGTCTGAGGCGTTCTGTCCTTCCTCCTTTTTCATCTAAAGACAGAAGCAAAAGACCGTTCCACAAATATTAGTTTTATTATTTTGTAATTTAGACAATAAACAAAGTAAAAAGAAAATCACATATTAGTGTGCAGATTTGTTTAAAAAAACAATGCTATGAAGACCAGAAGAGTACAATTCTTGCTCTATTCAGTGGTGACAACATTTCAATCACACCTTAAACATTTCAGCATGATTCATTTAACTGCCTTTTACATCCCCTTTGCTTGTATATTGTGTGACTGCAATAAATATTGTTACTTCCACGTTTCTTTGCATACACCATCACAGTAAGATATTGAGAATGTTCAAGGTTTAAATCAGCATTAAACTGATTTATATGTGAACCCCAATATTTCAAAATTTTGGTTTCTAGTACATGTCAAACTATGAGACGGGCAGCATTTAATTAAAAGAATTTTTTTATTTTTATACTCAGTAAGGGTACCACCCTCCCTAGATTAGTTGAAATCATAATTTTCTGACTGCAGTTTCTAGTGTGGCAAAATTAAAATATTTTGTAAAGTCAAAACACTAACAGCCAAAAGTAACTAACAGGACATGGTAACAGGTGTACAATCTGCCTACACATTCATCTTGTAGTTTGTCAGAGTATAGAAAAATGGGCAGTGTTTCAGTTACCACAATTATATAATTCTCCAATACTTTTATTGCAGAATCCACTTGATTTGCAGAAGCTTATGAACTTTTACTTGTCCTTCAAAAACAATGGCATTACATAACAATAGAAAAGAAGAGCATGACTGCTATTCAGAATATTCATCGAACTCCATTCACTGTGATACCATCTAATAATTCAATCATAATACAGTGAAACCTCGATGCATCGTTTTCGGCGGGGGTGAGAAATAAAAACGATGAATACGGGAAAACGATAGTTGCGGGAAAGCATTAAAAATTTAAAAAAAACAATGTTTCTCTTTCAAAGTTACTTCTTTTTACCAAAAAAGTCTTTAATGGACAACTGGTTTGTCGAAACTTTACGTTTTAGGCCAAACAGAGCCCTTTCCACGTTCAAAATGTTTTCTTCGTCACGTTCACTAATATTATGCTGCGCATAAAAGAACGACTTCACTTTTGGCAATGCTTCGGTAAAACTCGGCACAGCTTCGGGCTCGCATTCGTCGTCTTCCACTTCCTCACCACTCCCACCCCCTTCGCGGACAATAACAGGAAGAATGGAAATACTATTACTGCCGAATTCAACGAAACGTAGCTGTAGAAGACACTGACCCACTGGAAACGAGATGAACCAGAAGAATGAGAAGTGTCGCCCGCCTTTCCTTTGTACTTATAATAAAAGCATTTGTGAAGAAATTCACACTGCGCATGCCATCTGGCATCGCTGGAACGAAATATGAGTGCACCCTAATTAAACTCATAAAATTTCTGACAATGAGCACCCATATTCGCTCCAACTATCACCCCTGCACCGCCAACCCCTCATTCCAAAAGAATCTGTGCTGGTTGGGCGACATAACAGTTACTGTGTATTCCAAAAACATTGTGCGTCTTTTGGTATTAATTTATCTCAAAACCCAGCATTTTAATTTCTCAGAAACGATCATTGCGGGAAAATTGTGGGCCGGGACTAAGATTTTTGAACGATCAATGCGATAAAACAATAGTTCGAGGAACGATAGAAGCAGGAAAATGTAACATTATTTTATATGGGATGTATCCGGGACCGAACAAAACGGTCGATGCATCCAGGAAAACGATAGTTCCGGGAACGATGGATAGAGGTTTCACTGTAACTACATATGTAAAATTTGATTTTTGTATTATGTTACTGGCCTCACAAGATAAAATCCTATCTCCAAGAAAGCTAATGGAAGTTAAAACGTTTTCCATTGCTGCAGTTAGTCACTAGACAGCAAGGGCATTTCACTTCTTAAATTCTGAAGTTACAAGATTTCGTTGTGAAGGTGGTGATACGTAATATGTTCAAAGATATATGCAATAGCACATGATGTAACGCAACATTAAACCTATTATGTTGCCTACCTTCTACTTCAGAAAAAGGGGTTCAAGAATTATGTAAAAATGATAATTACATAACTAAATAGTATTCTATGTACAGAAAACAAAATTTTTATCCTTAAAGATCCATCATGCCTTACCTGCTCCAATATAGCTGACTGACAATGTACGTGAACGGGACCACCCTCTCTGCCTCACCAGATTTTCTTCATCAGTGCTCCCTCCTTGACGTACAATGCAAGTGCCAGAAATACATCTGTATCACACAAAAGACATATGTAAACGAAGACCAAACACATCTGACATACAGAACCTTTACTTTCTTAAGAAATGACATCTGTTTCAATTTCCAGAAACAAAATAGCACTTCAATGCAATACATAATCTTATTTTAAAACTATTTTGTACAATAAAAAGGTATATAGCCAACCAAATTTCAAACCATACATGAATCACTCAATTTATCAGGAGATACTAAAAACATTTTATAATCTACATTTAAAGCTGGCACATATTTTTAAAACGGATGATTGGAACAATGGCATTTGAACAAAGGTGGAAGATAATCTTTGGTTGTGAAACATGTAATTATTATTAAATGATAAAATGTTAACATACAAGGTTTGAAAGTAGGTAGATAATATGGAGTACAATAAAATATTTGTACATAATTAACTAAAGGAAAGAAACTTCTTAAGGACTTATAAAGCTATATGTAAGTCATAATTTTATTCTGTACTCTGGTCACAAGACATGAATACATAATTAGTTTGTTGCCGTACCAGTACTTTTTAAACATAAATACTAAAACATTAAGAACCAGCTACCTGTAGCTCCTGTCCAGTTGTTAAGATAATCAGCATTTTACCAAAAAAACAAAAACAAACAATTAACAAATAATTCACATACCTGGAAATCACATTTCCATTTCTAAATGACTGTGGGGTAGAAAATTACGGAACTATCATCTCCACTACCACTAAAACTGGCATTGGATTCATTGCAAGGGTGTTGAACAAGTAGTCTTTTTATTTATGAAAACCATCGACCAAACTGCTAATATAATCAACTAACTACTAATCCACTATTATTACCATTAGGGGTGGGGGGGAGAGGATGGTAGGATAGAAGGAAGGACAGGAAATTAGATAATAATATTAATATCCTATCCTACACCCTACCTGCACACCCTCCCTCCTGCCCCACCCAAACTGCCTTCTAGTCCTCACTCCATTACAGTAATTTCTATCCTGTACCACCCTCAC